CCTCATTGTCATGTCACATGCACATCACGCATCGGCCAGGTCGGTCACTTTCGAATTCATCGCACATGGAACATAAGACCACATGTACCTTCGTGAAGACCTGGGGTAGAACGCTGCTGATTGTACCTAATTGCCACTTCTCTCCTCACCGGCACTTACGCCATACATAGTCATGCCAGCAGCTTTCAATCTGGGGAAATACCATTTCGGCTTCCTGCGTATGTAGCCCCTCCACTACAAGTGTGATCGGAACCTAAGACTATGACAGTTAACTAAAAACTGTAGCTTATAATACTGGCAACTGACGATTATACCAGGCCACGACAACAGCCCAGTTTGTGTTTATTGATTGATCAGCGGACTAGGAGTCAGAGAGTAGCGGCTCCTTCTTATTCCCGGTTTTGGTAAGGGTGATGTATCAATGCGACCAGGTCGAGTTGTGGAGCGCGCAGAAGGATTAACCGGCCATATCAATCAATTCGATCACCCCGCATCAGACCGCTGACAGGCTCGGACGGCGATATGATTTTGGCAGTGGGAGAGAGATTGATGTCGACGGCTTAGCGGAGATAATGAAATAAATTGCTTAGGAGTGAATCGGAGCAGGCCGGTAGCCAGTAGGAAATATAGCAAATAGGAAGCAAGAAATTTGAAACGAAAACTCCCTAAATACCACAATTATTTGAGTAATTTGGGCGTGGTTTTAACTTTAATAGACTGTTATCGTCCTCGGCCCATCAAGTCCTGGATTATATTTTTTTATCACTTCAGCTTATATCATGATTTATTTGTAGGTGTATACATATTTATTTGAAGTAAAAGGCGTTCTTTTGGAAATAAGGTTCATTTTTTGAGACCGGAGCCTCAGTTCGTCTTTAGGCGTACTCCTAACATAGGCAATAACTAAAAGCCAATGGCTAGTTTCTATGTCGGAAATACAGAATAACATCATTGCCATATAGCACTACTTGTATTAATACTCGCTTGTAGAATAAGCATTGCCAAAGAAGTTTATTGTCTTCATACAAATTTCGGTTCCGCCATTAAAAAGTCATATTCCATTCACCCTCATCCAAGTCGTGCACTGAATAATTTCCAAAATAATTTCCCCGATTATTATCTGGAGGTCTTAGACCAGAAACCGCATAGGGGGCGCTGGGGGGGACTCCGAGGAGCCGGAACCCTCGTTCAAAAGCGAGGGGCTTTCGGCAAGTAGCTCTATGGGGTGTACGGTATAACATCTTCACCACATTTAGCATATACTACTGGTCGTACTACTTGTTTTCAGAACGGGCATTACGTGGTTATTCCACAAAACCTGATGTTCTTCTACGCAAAAGATTCATATAAACTTCGGTTCTGACCCTTAAAAGTCATGTTCCAGTCACCCATCTCCAAGTCATGCACTTACTAATTTCCAAAATTATTT